ATCTCCATCATACTCATCATGACAAACATGAGTTTACTAACAATAAAATCAACAAGCAGACGCGTGCAAATTCCGTTAAGCGGACATGAAACATCAACAACAACGAAGCAAGCAATCTAAGCGAATGAGCAATTCAAGCTAGCAAACAAGCGAGCTAGTTAATAAACAAGCGAGAAAACGAGCAATCGATCAATCAATCAAATAATCAACCAAGGCCAACAACCAAGAAAGCAATTTCTGAATCAAAATCTCCAGTCATCTATTTAGGATGTCAAACGAGTTGTGGTAGCCGACACAAGTGGATAAAATTCATCAAATGCAGCCTTACGTGATTCATTTAATAGCTATAGTTATCCATGGACACTAGTACTGAATGATTGGGTCTTTGAAAAGATTGGCGTTGGTTCTAGAGAATGAATACTGACTGATCGGGGCTCTAGAAAAAATTGATGTTAGCTCCGATATAATGACTTGACTAGTTCACAAATGTGGGAATTGGTTTCCCTTTTGACCTTGTGTGGGATACTCATGAGGGATCATGTTGGAGAATAAGATCTTATGTTGGTCATATAACAAAATAATATATTTTTAGTGTATGAGAGTTTCCACAGCTAATATCATCGATGTCTTTTGTGATAAAATCCAACAAATAGAAATAAATGATTGAGTTGGGACATATCAATGATATTGGTGGTGGACCTAAGCCTACAAAGTTTATCAAACAATTCATGCAATACTGAAATTAAAACATCAAATATAGGACCCTGCAAATTATTTTTTTCTTACCTCTATGAGGTTTCTTTTTCCCTCATGTTACAAGCATGTTGAGGGTAGAGGTTTCTTTTTCCCCTCTATTTTTACATGATTAATGAGAGAATAAATTAGCTTTGTATTTTTGTAACCCAAGATACCCTTCACCCATGTAATGAATTTAAAAAAAAAATTATTAATCTTTTTTTTTTTGACAGAAAATACTGCATTAAACTATGGGATGTGGATTCGAACACGAAACCTCAAATGCAAAGGTTAATGTTTTTAACTAACTGAGCTATCAACTGAGATACCTATAGTATCACATATAATGACTTGACCATGTGGGAATTGGCTAACATAACTATTAAGCTGACATACCTATAGTATCACATAAATTAAAAAATTCAACCATGATCACCACCTAGTTAAACTGGTGAGCAAATTCATGCTCAAGAATTCTTACAATTTTTTTTTAAGGAAAATTAATAAAATATGCTTGAAATTTTTGAGTTTTAATTAAAAAGACAAAAAATTGTTGTAAGTGAATAGTATTAGAAATGACTTTTTAGAGTAAAATATTATTTTTTGTTAAAATGAACAATACGGAAAGTATTTCATTAAAACTTATTTATTTATTTATTTATTTATTTTTAATGTCACGTTTTAGTGGGGACTAAAATATTTGCTGTACTTTCTTCGTATAATAAACAATCCATTTTTGTGATATATATGCAAAAGGAATATTATTTCACTGTAACTATATTATGGTAAGATAACAGACTTTTCTCGGCTCAAGCTTTAGCACATGAAGTTATAGCGGCCTGTCAATAGCTGTCGCACAAACCAAATCGTACATAGAACGAGGTGAGAAATGACGAAAGTCCGACATCATTTGATCATCAAACAATAACATTAAAAAAAAAAAAAAAAGATGAATAAATATTATTTCTTTTAAAAAGAACCAAATGTTCATTGCGATAATAGAATGATTAAATCTGAAAATCAATGTGACCGCTTTACCTTTTAAAGTCATCATTTTATTTTTTGGAATTCTATTTCGATCTCATTTTATTATCTGAAACTCAAATGTGACATCCCACATCGTCTAGGAGAGTGATCCTTATATGTATATTCCTATCCCTACCTAGCATGAGGCTTTTTGGGAGCTCACTGGCTTTGGGTTCCGTAGGAACTCCGAAGTTAAGCGAGTAGCGCGCGAGAGCAATCTCATGATGGGTGACCCACTGGGAAGTTGCTAGTGAGTTCCCAAAAACAAAACCGTGAGGGAATGGTAAGCCCAAAGCGGACAATATCGTGCTAAAGTGGTGGAGCGGGTCCGGGAAGTGATCCGTCCTGGGCGGGGCCGGGAAGTGGTCCCCCCCGGGCCTGGATGTGACAATTTGGTATCAAACCCTAACCCTAGCCGTGGTATGCTGACGAGGACGTCGGGCCCCTAAGGGGGGTGGATTGTGACATCCCACATCGCTCAGGGGAGTGATCCTTATATGTATATTTCTATCCCTACCTAGCACGAGGCCTTTTAGGAGTTCACTGGCTTTGGGTTTCGTAGGAACTCCAAAGTTAAGCGAGAATGGGGCTAGAGCAATCCCATGATGGGTGATTCACTGGAAAGTTGCTCGTGAGTTCCCAAAAACAAAACCATGAGGGAATGGTAAGCTCAAAGCGAACAATATCGTGCTACAGTGGTGGAGCAGGCCTAGGAAATGATCCGCCCCGGGCCGGGATGTGACAATTTGGTATCAGAGCCTAACCCTGGCCGTGGTGTGCCGACGAGGATGTCGGGCCCCTAAGGGGGATGGATTGTGACATCCCACATTGCCCAGGAGAGTGATCCTTATATGTATATTCCTATCCCTACCTAGCACGAGGCCTTTTGGGAGCTCACTGGCTTCGGGTTCCGTAGGAACTCCGAAGTTAAGCGAGTAGCGCGCGAGAGCAATCCCATGATGGGTGACCCACTGGGAAGTTGCTCGTGAGTTCCCAAAAACAAAACCGTGAGGGAATGGTAAGCCCAAAGAAGACAATATCGTGCTACGGTGGTGGAGCGGGTCCGGGAAGTGATTCGTCCCGAGCTGGCCCGAGAAATGGTCCCCCCCGTGCCATGATGTGACATCAAAAGTCACTACTTCACTCCTTGAAATTCTATTTACTCAACTTTGGCTTGTTTCTATGTATTCTATTAAATAACCACTAGCATTTGCCTACACACTTTGTGTGTATGAACACATTTTTTTAGAAAAAGAGACGGAAAGAAAGAGAGAGACAGAGAGAGAGAGAGAAAATGTGGGGGGAGTGGAAGGTTTCTGTTTATGGCTTTTTTTTTATTTTTTTATTTTATAATATTGAAGGTATTTTAATATCACTTGTAGGTGAAGCTTCAATAAAAAAAAGTAAAATTTGGACCTATGAAATTACATTATTGCCCAACAGTTTTTTTGTGTGATAAAAGACTAATTGTCTTTTCACCCTCTTTTTAGTAGAGATTAAGTTTACTTATGTGGCATAATTAGGGCCCATTTATAGCTGACATGGCACAAACAAGTATAAAAGATCCAACAAGATCCTCTCCAGATCCTTTTGGTGAGGATCCTGGGAATTCGTGAATTGTGTATGTTCATCGTACATTGTACCATTAATTTTTTACAGGTACTGTTTGTATTTAATTTTAAATAAAAATATTTAAAATGATTTATGACGGCACGATGTACAGTGAATGAACACGATTCACGGATCTCTGGGATTCTCATAAAGAGGATCCGAATTCTAAAAAGATCAAATATCCAATCAAATGGTGTCATATAGATTGAAACGAAAAAAAATTTAAGAAAATTTAATTTTCAAACATTGTATAACGTATTAAAAAAAAATTAATAAAAATGGTTTGAAAACTTTGAGTTTTAACGATAAGAACAAAATAAATGGTAAAGCGAATAGTACCAGGATTAACTTTTAGGTGTAAAAATGTGATTTTTCGTTAAAGTGAATAGTAATGTGAGCTTTTAGTTAAAGTTACTTAAAAAAATAAAAAAGTAAGAAAATAGCAAAAACAATTCCTCAGGTTCATCTCTTTGACCGTTCTCTCTTTAATTGTTATCTACATTTATCCATTCTCCCTCCATCTCCAGCCATTTTATCATTGGCTCCTTTGATTTCTTATATTCTTAATGCGTGATATTATTCATATCATGTTTTAATATTCATATCATCTTCGGTGATATTTGATGTGGACAATCACATCATTTGAATTAATCAAAATTTTAAATTTAGTTCATTATTTAATAAACTAATAATTAAGAAAAACTAGTTAACTAAATGATGATTGTAGTATACGAGGAGTCTTTCTCCTTCCTTTCCTTGGGTTTTGCAAATTTTTCAAGTGATGTGGCTGTTCACATCAAATACCATCTAAGGTGGTATAAAAATGTGGTATAAAAACATGGTATGAATAACATTACTCATTCTTAATTGAGGTGGCTGGTGAAAAGAGAAGAAGATGGTTCTTTTTGTTTTTTTACTATTCATTTATTTCAAGAGGATATTTAGCATATTACCATATAACTATGAACTTGTTCTAAAAAGTGGAAATAAGGCAATGTCAAACAAATTATGAGTTTCAGGAAGTAAAGTGGCGAGTTTTGAGTTTAGGGAGTAAAATGGAATCAAAATTGAGTTTCAAAAATAAAGTGATGACTTTTGAATTTCAAGAAATAAAGTGGAATCGAAAGCGAGTTTTAGGGGAGCGTAGCAAAATGCAAGTTTTTTTTTTTTTTTTTTTTTTTTGGTGCTGACGAACTAAAATGGTTTGGATTATTGAATCTTATTCTAGGGAGTACCCCGAACAATAGAACCTTTTCAACCATTCTTCCAAAAAGTTCTTCTTAAGAAGGGATCGTACATAACGCATTTTGACATAAGTTTTTGTCGGCCAATTTCATAATGTTTTTAAAGATCCAATGGGTTAACTTTTATGTTTTATTTCAAAGATCATGTCTACAAAAAATATCCAAATCCAAAACCATATGATTGTTGGATTAGTTTAGTGTTTCTTTGTAAAACTATATTCCTCCATTTTCTTTACTCCAAATGAATGTCTTAATGGTTTTGGATTTGTCTAATTTTTTGCAAGGATGTTCTAAGAATAATGTACTATAATATAGATAGTTCAAATCGTTGAAATACATTTTGAAGTGGATTGTACAAAATGAGTGTCAAAAAGCGTATGTTCATGGATGCTAACCCTATATATATTCATATGGTAGTTTCATTTGATAGCAAAACTTTTAACCTCTTGATCGATTTCTTTCCAGAGGTTATCAACTATTTCCTAATGTACAAGCTTATGCATTAGATCATGACTATTCTAATCACAAACCCCTTCCTAAACAAAAATTACAAGGGTGGGGATGAAGTTGGTATACATATAAATACCCTAAACTTTATGAACAATCATGTTCTTTGCGATTGAACCTGAAGGTTCACCATATTGCTGGTGGGGCTGCTAGCAGAAGCACTTCTCCATGGGATCGGCAGCTGCATGTTGAGATTTCGAGCACTCATATTCATTTTCAAGAGCAGTTCTCTAGCTCTGTTCATCAAATCCGCTCCCTCCTTTTGAATCTGGACTCTCTTTGGACATTTGAGCAAGCTAATATAAGTCCCCAAGTCATGAACACATGAAGGGTTCTGCATGTTGAAGAAATCAAGTACTAGTTCAACTCCCACATGTGCATAACACGAGCAACTCCATGGGAACTCAAATGACCCCTCACCTGCCAAAACCCTAAAATTTTCATGATTGAAAACAACCCCAGGCATCTTGGTAATGGGGTCATTCACGTTAACTATTCTCAACACCTTCACACCCAATTCCTCACACCTTTGCTTGAACCCCGAGTTTCCAACCCTTGGGCCTCCGAACGAGAACACTGTAATCGGTGTTTTCGTTCCAGAATTATCTCGGTTTAACCCGAGCTCTGCGATGTCATAACCAAGAAGAAGAGCCAATGAACTCCCCATACTATGTCCTGCCATAGTTATGCTTAACTTCTCACCTTTGTACTTGTTTAGCAACCTCGACACCTCCGAAAGAAGCTGTTCCCGGCAACTTCCTAGTCCAAACTTGCTTTGGCTTTCATCTGACGTGTACAAGCTCAAAAACCCAGATTCCACTTTTACATCATTTCTTGGATTATGAGGATCGAGCCTTGCGGGAGTGAGTGAGCTCATTAGGTTTGCAACCCACTCAGGGTTTGTAACAGTGCCTCTGAAGGTAACAATAATATCTCTTCTTCCAAGCCTCTTAACCGCATCATCTGACGAGACGGCGACATATCCAATCCAACGGCCGCACGACTCTCCATTTTGGATTGGGATGTTGATGTCTGGAGTGGCGTAGATGTACTTGGTGACTTCATAACCGCAATTCTCCATTCCAACCTCTCTGAACATGTTTTTCTTTCCGTATTTGCAATTGAGGTAGCGTTTGGAGTTGGGGTCGAGATCAAAGCCCTTGTAACAGGCGGTGACAAAGTCTCCGTATCTAATGATCTCTTGCCGGAGAAGTGGGTGCAATGGTTCCACCAGGTTTTCCCAGTTGTTTGATCCTTGTATTTCTCTCCATTGATCAGCCAAACTAGTGCTAGAGCTGGGATTGTTAATATTGGCTCCAGTAGTATTTCTTGTTACCACTTCAGCGGCTGCTGCTGCGGACATAGCAACTGCGTGTCTCGTGGCAGCTGCCACTTCAGTTTTTTTTGCCAGACAAATTTGCCCAAAAGTAACCGAGCGTATCCCAATGTTTTGGGAAACGTCACATGTTGGTTCATGTTTGTGGTAGGCATTTGAATCATGGAAGCCATTTCTATAGCTCTACTTCAAAGAATTAGAGAGCTATAGAGAGAGAGAGAGAGAGAGAGAGAGAGAGAGAGAGAGAGAGCGAGAGAGAGTGGCTGGCTGAATTATGTTGTGAGATGAGAGGCAGATGTATATATACAAATGGAGAGATAGAGAGAGAGGTTATGGAGGAGGAGCTGAGAGGGGATGTGTGATAAACTTGTGTCATGTGGGTCATAAGAAATTAATAGTGAAAGAAAAGTAAAAGCATGTTTGGCGAGTATTTGACTGGGAACATCAAAATTCCCAAGGGCTTAATTTAAGTGGTCGGTTGGGTTTTAAGGCCACGTACACTCTGTTTCTCTGTTGCGGCTATGTTAGAAAAAGAGCCCTTTCTTTTATTTTTGGCTGGTTCCCTTGATGTTGACTTCAAAGTTTCATATATATGGAGTTTTTTTTTTTTTTTTTTTTCTATTTCTTTTCATTTTTTGGCCGGAAAAAGCCATGTACATATAAAGTGACACTAAGGTCAAATCGTGTCATATCGTGTTTAGGTTATGTCTCTAAATTCTAAGCCAGTTAACAATTAAACTTCGACAGTTATAATTAATTAAGTTATTATATATCGAAAATATAATCTCGTATTTATAATATCATTTTAATTTGAAGAAAAGATAGTTAATAATCATATTTTACAAATTGTCAACGTTCACTCTGAGACACAAACAATAGTTTCAAATTAGAAGTTGACAATTGTCTTGTGGAACTAGAGATTACATGGATATAAATGGCTAAATTAATCCATTTATTAATTATTTCCTAGTAATTATGGACGTCGTTTGAAGGAATGATATTTTCATTGCATAATGGATGTATGGATTATCAAGGAACATGCATGCTCTTGAAGGGAAAAAGGAGCAAAATTAAAAGGTTTTCAATGTAATACACTCGGTAGACTACGGACTTGGTGAACCAACTTATATCAAATTTAGCTATCAAGTTAGCATTAACATATAAAGTTGTCTTTTTAGCTAAAATTCTCTTTGAAATTGATATAACTCCTCACTTGGTTCTTGAAATTTAAAATCGATAGAACTAGTCCCTGGGTTTGTCCACCATATCAATCATTTTGATCATTCTGTGAAAAATTTTCGTTGAATAAAGATAAATGACAAAAATTGTTTAGCCCATTGTTTATTAAATTGAGGGTATTTTTGTTATTTTGGTCTTTATTTAACAGAGATTTTTCACAAAATGATCAACAGTGGACAAACTGAGAAATCACTTCTATCGATTTCAAATCTCAAGCACCAAAGTGAATGTCAACCTTGAGCAATTTTGGCCAAAAATGTTCGGCTTTGATATGTTTGGTTACAAGTATTCATTAAGAACATATAATAATTGAGCTATTAATGTTAGAATCAAAGGGGCGTGAATGGTTAGATACTACTGAATTAATGATCGATCGATGGTACATAGATGACAATAAAAGGACTAGTTGATTGGTAGGTATGAATGCAGAGAGTTCACATGTGTACAGATTAATTAAGCAAACGAATGAGCAGTTGCTATCTTATGACATGAAGCAAATTTGTATTCAACCACAAAAGAAGAGGATATAAAACAATCAAAACATACCAGCTAGTCTTTAGTCTAAAGCAATCAAACACACTTAGTTTTAGTCTAATCATACGTAGTTGTCTTATGTTTTAAAGAACATCTTCAGCTCGACTCACATTGATGCGAAAACAATGCAAGAACAATATACATTTGTGGCTAGCATAAATATAGTGGTACAACTTTGTTGTGGGTGTGTCAGCCCTGCCATATAAAGCGTTGATAAACTACTCGTGTTATGATACCATTAGCTTAGGTCACTAAAATATCAAGGGCAACAATAAAAAGACGAATTTTAAGAAATCATCTTGTACTTTTTCGTTAATAAACATATGATCTACTAAAACGAAACATTTCAAAATATAGCCTCAATATTTTTCAAATACCAATCGTGCTATCTACATTATTACCGTACTTCAAAAAGATTAAATATGTTCGAGAAATTCCCCTTTTCACACTACAAAGAATCCTTTGTTGTGTCAGAGCTGGTTGAGAAACCGTTAACCGTCAGAAGCATCAACAGGGTTAATAAACCGCGCCGACTATTTTCTATTTGGTTGTCCATCTTTTGTAAAATTGCATTCAGGCCCCAAATAGATAAGGCACTACGCGCGCTTCATATTTGACGCACGCCTTGCGCGCTCGAGAATTGAGAATTGAGATGGTTTCTGTGCCGAGTGCCGGACATTCAACGCGGCGATTGACATTTGCACGTGGCCCCCCAAGAAATCTACTCTACTCCCTCCTCATGTGCAGGCATTGACCATCTTTTTTCTATTTCACTCAGCAGTAGCCTCTCAACTTTTAAGGGAATTGGAACAATATTTTTTTTAACTAAAAATGTGTGATTATTGATGTTTTAATTTATTAAAATGTGCAATTATGATTTTTTTTTGTCAACTTCGTTAGAATTTCCGTCAAAATGAGTCACGTGTCACTCACGTGATGCTGAATCAAGAGGCAAATATGAAAAACCAAATGAGAAAATTGTAGGAATGGTCTCACAACATTAACTCAATTGGAGAAATGATCATTCGATTGAAGTAATGATCTTTCAACTTTAACCAAATTGTTGCAATAGTTCTTCCAACACGACTCATTTTGGCGGAAGGTTTGACGAAGTTGACAAAAAAAATTATAGTTGCACGTTTTTATAAGTTAAGGGACCAATGGTTACAGATTTTTAGTTGATGAACCACTGCTCCAATTAGGATAAAGTTAAGGGACTATTACTACAATTTTTTCCTTAAGTTTTAGTTGAGAGATTTCTCAGAATAACGTACTTGAGTGATGACTTTGTAGGATTCACATTCACTTCATTTCATGTCTATCTTTAGGTCTTTCTGTCATTTACATCGTAAATCTACTAAATCATATGACCGTTAAAATAAATGGTTATTCGTTTAATGTTTCTTTGAATCACTGTTTTCGTCTATTTTCTTTATTACAATAGGATCCCTTAATGACGTTGGATTTGTCTAATTTTAAATAAAGATAATCTATGCGTGATGAATTAGAATATATGATTTAGATCATTGAGACCTTTACAAGGTGTCTTTTGATGATGGAAAACAATTATATATATATGCACCCTTGTGTCAGTTTGATTCTCATTGATCTCTCCCCTTAACAACTAATAATTTAACTCACACTACCGTTTGCCAAAACAATATATTATTTATATATGTGTGCGTGCGTGCGCTTGTGTGTAATATCCACACATATGATATACTGCCACTTCGAGTTTTTCTTAAATGCACAGAGCTTTATCCACCTTAAGATACTATTATAATGCTAGTAGGCACGCCTTCTACGGTTGTCATTCTTTGAATGCACACCCTTCTGCTCTTTTGTGCCCTTACCAATTTTTTAGTACGGTATGTTCTTTTGAAGCAAGACCAAGAAAACAAAAGCAAATTTAGTATATTAGGGAAAAATCCTATTACTAAATTTATATGATCTAAAGAAAATATAAAATATTTGTTCAAAAAAGAAAATATATAATAAAAAAAACTTTAGGAGAACGACGCTTATACCTTCATGTGATTTACCAATTCAAATATCAAAATATGAGTAGATGCTATGGTCACTTTTTTTTCACCATGGGTATGGATTAGCTTTGATTTTCTCTCCGTAGTAAATAAACTATTACTTATTTAAGTCTCCCTTCTGATTTCTAGGCGAGTATTAGTAATTTAGTATTTCCTAACCAATAATATCCAAACATTGTTTGTAGAAAAACGATGAAAGTTAGGTAGACTATGCTTTGTAGGTACATCATAAAATTGAACACAAACCTTATTTCTCATAAAAAAAAAAAAAATTAAACTTTTACTTGTGGAATTTTAATAATAATAATAACAATAATATGTATGCTATTTTTCAGGTAGAATAAGAATGGGCTAACTGCCTAGCTTGTGACATCCCACATCGCCCAGGGGAGTGATCCTTAAATGTATATTCCCATCCCTACTTAGCACGAGACCTTTTGGGAGCTCACTGGCTTCGGGTTCCGTAGGAACTCCGAAGTTAAGCGAGAAGGGGGCTTGAGCAATCCCATGATGGGTGACCCACTGGGAAGTTGCTCGTGAGTTCCCAAAAACAAAACCGTGAGGGAATGGTAAGCCCAAAGCGGACAATATCGTGCTACGGTGGTGGAGCGGACCCGGAAAGTGGTCTCGCCCGGTCCGGGATGTGACATAGCTAGCTAGTAACATGCATACTATTGGTTCATGCATGAGATATTTATTGTTTAGTTTTTTTGGTTGAAAAACGGGTCTAAAATCAAGAGCCCAAAAAACCTTACTCAATAATAAATTTAGATCGGGACATTTCAAATCGATTTTCATGAATAAAATTAACTGAACAAGAATGAGGAGGATCAAAATAAAAATTACCTAAATCTAAATCAAGACTATGGGTTACTAAATTGTCTACCACAAAATTCTTTTCTCTATAGACATGTCGAAGTTCGCATTGTCAAAATCTTGAAAGCAATTCTTGGCAGGCCAAAACAAGTGGACCTAAAAATTGATTATTGCCAGCACCTTGCAACACCAAATGAACTGTGAATGCAAGGTGATTCTACTAGTAATTTATCAATATGTAATCTCCATGCCAATTGTAAGCCCAAGTAAACACCGCATAGCTCAACAATAAGAATCTCACATGTGCCTAAATTGGCGCAAAATCCATAAATCCACGTATCATTAGAATCTCTTAAAACACCAGAAGCTCCAATTGAATTATTATTTCCCTTTCTTACAACCATCAACATTAAGTTTAAACCAATCCGTAGGAGGAACTTCCCAATGGAGCAAAGATTCAATCCTATGGGGTTTTTCAATCTTGAAAATATTAGCCTTCAACTATTTGCAAACATATATACAATAACAATTGTAGGCTCATAATCATTGCAAAATCCTACTAGAAAATGAATATAGTTCACCAATGCCATATAAATTTAGTTCCATTGAAGGGAATTGAACCTAAACCTGCTCTACCAAGTTTAGGCTCAAGTAGACCTGACATTCGTGTCGTGTTTTTCATGTTCATATCGTTTTCGTGTCATACTCGATATCTTAACACGTCGTGTTGTGTAAGTTGTAATACCCATTAAAATAAATAGGTAAAATGATCTGACTCGAAATCAACCCTATAATATTAACAGGCAATATGACCCGACCCGTTACCTGTTAAGGAAAATATATTTTAAACCAATAAATAATCAAATGAAAAACATAATACTAAATAAGTATATACATACCATATTGTCACATCCAAAACATAAAAATGCAATTTTCTTTTAAGTATATTTTCGCTTACCTAAATTGATCAAATTGTAAAATTGGAAAATATTGGAATAGAGAAGGGTTTTTCCGTCCAAAAAAGTTCTAATAATATAAGTGAAATAGAATCCAACGGTACATATTTACTCTCATTTATCTTACGACTGTTATTTAAGTAAAGTCTTTAATAGTTTTTTAATTAATGTAGAAGTGTAAAAAAATATAGAAAAAAAACATATATAAACGCTCGTAATGACAAACTTTACAACTTTCATAAAGAGCTTAACTTCGAAATTCACCACTATAATCATATAAATCATAGATCAAAATTGAACCGTTGATTGTTGTTTATATTTACGCTTCATTGTTCTCATCAAATTTTTTTTTTTTTTCAAATTTTCTTTTTTGAAAACATGATCTATTAGAGGATGCAAGAAGATGGATCGTTCATATTATATTCAGTTAACCGTAAATATCAAAATGTGATATCAAAGATCTAA